GCGAACGCGGTCAAAGCCTCGTGTTCGCGAAACACAAAATTCCGTTGACCAAAAAATCATCTTACGCGAACGCGAAGCATCAGCTTCCCACACCATCGCAAACGCGACTCCTAGCTCGCGAATGTGAAGCACAAACGAACCTGGACCCAGCTGCTCCCATCTACTCTACGCAAACGCGGGACCTGCATCGCATTCTCGATGCACACTGAGCTTCTCCCTTCGCGAACGCGGGACCAACATCGCGAATATGAAGGCTAAATTTCCTGCCTCACTACTCAATCCTTTCGCGAACGCAAATGCCCTCTCGCGTACGCGAAGGCCAAAACTGTGCAACACACACAACAGAAAATCTGCAACTTCTCAAACATGAATATGATCCGTTTAACCACCCGAAACTCACCCGAGGCCCTCGGCACCTCAACCAAACATGCAAACATATCCCATATCATCATTAAAACTTGTTCCAACCTTCGGAACGCTCAAAACAACATCAAAACACCAAGATCACATCGGATTTAAGCGTAGGAATTCCAAAAACTTCCAAATTCCGCTTTGGATCAAAAAGTCTATCAAACCTCGTCTTAATGACCTAAAATTTTACACACACATCAAAAATGACACAACGGACCTAATCCAACTTCTAGAATTCCATTTTGACTCCTATATCAAAATCTCACCTATCAACCGGAAATCGCCAAAATTCTAATTTCTCCAATTCAAGCCTAAATCTACTCCGGACCTCCAAAACACATTCTGATCATTCTACTAAGCCCCAAATCACCGAACGGATCTAACCAAATCATAAAAGTTCCAATCGGAGATCATATACTACCAAGTCAAAACTTGGTCAACCTTTTAATTTTAAGCTTCAAACTGAGAACTATTCTTCCAACTTTATTCCGATTATCCTGAAAACCAAAATCCAATGATTTACTTAAGTCATAATACATCACATGAGGCTAGTCATGCCCGAGAACTGGCGAGCAAAGTACTAAAGCTCAAAACGACCGGTCGGGTCGTTACATCAAGAAAAATCTCAAGCAACAGATGCTCTCAAGGTGTTTGTTAATGAGGTTGAAAGGCAGTTAGATAAAAAGGTGAAAATTATTAGGTCAGATATAGTTGGTGAATGTCATGGAAAATATAATGAATCAGGACAATGTCCAGGTCCATTTGCAAAGTTCCTTAAGGAATATGGCATATGTGCACAGTATACTATGCTAGGAACACCTCAACAAAATGGTGTTGTAGAAAGGTGTAGTCGAACACTTATGGATATGGTTAGAAGCATGATAAGTAATTCCTCATTACCCAAATGTGGATGTATTCTCTTAAAATCGTTGTATATTTATTAAACAGGGTTCCTAGTAAGGCAGTTCCAAAGACCCCTTTTGAATTGTGGACAAGAAGGAAACCTAGTTTAAGGCACTGCATGTTTGGGATTGCCCAGCAGAAGCTAGAGTTTATAATCCACAATAAAAGAAATTATATTCTCAAATAGTAAGTGGTTACTTTATTGGTTACCCAAAGAAATCTAAAGGTTATGTGTTTTACTATCCAAACCATAGTTCGAGAATTGTTGAAACCGGTAATGCAAGATTCATTGAGAATGGTGAAGTTAGTGGGAGTGTTGAAAAGCAAAGTGTGGAAATAAAAGAGGCGAGGGTCAATATTCTATTACCCACGAATGTGCCTACTTCCACACAAATATCAAATATTGTTCCAGTTGTTGAAGAACACTTTGACAACACCGAGAAACATTTGGATGAAACACTTCATGAAGAAACCTACTCACAAATATCTGACACAAATGAACCAAAAGAAATGCCATTAAGAAAATCTCAAAGAGTTAGAAAATCGGCTATTTCGTATGATTACGTGGTTTGTTTGCAAGAGTCAGATTTTGACATTGGTCTTAATAAGGATCCGGTTTCATTTTCACAATCCATAGAAAGTAATGAGTCTGACAAATGGATTGATGCCATGAAGGAAGAGTTAAAATCCATGGAATACAATAAAGTCTGTGATCTTGTCGAATTGCAGAAAGTTCTAAAAGAATCGGGTGTAGATGGATCTTTAAAACCAAACGTAATTCAAATGGAAATATTGAACGATACAAAGCCAGACTTTTTGCCAAGGGTTATACTCATAAAGGAGGCATTGATTATAAAGACACTTTTTCACCGGTCTCAAAGATAGAGTCGTTAAGAATTATTATGGCTTTGGTGGCTCATTATGATTTAGAGTTACACCAAATGGATGTGAAAACTGCCTTTCTTAATGGAGATCTCGAGGAGGAAGTTTATATGGACCAATCCGAGGGTTTCGAAACTAAAGGAAAAAGGTCAAATGGTGTGTAAACTGAAGAAGTCAATATATGGACTTAAACAAGCCACACGAGAATGGTATATAAAGTTTAATGATACCATAACATCTTTTGGATTTGTGAAAAATACCATTGATCGGTGCATACCAAAAGATCAGTGGGAGCAAGTTTATATTTTTAGTCCTATATGTTGACGATATTTTACTTGCTGCTAATGATTTAGGCATATTGCGTGAGACAAAAGACTTTCTCTCTAAGAATTTTGAGATGAAAGATATGGGTGAGGCATCCTATGTGATAGGAATAGCAATATTCCGTGATACATCACAAGGATTATTGGGATTGTCTCAGAAAGGATATATCGAAAGAGTTCTAAAGAGATTTAACATGAACAATTGTTCAGCATGAATTGTTCCAATTCAAAAAGGGGACAAATTTAGTCTAATGCAATGCCCCAAGAATGATGTAGAATGAAAAGAAATGGAATCAATTCCTTACTCTTCTATTGTTGATAATCTGATGTATGCTCAGACTTGCACAAGACCGGATATTAGTTTTGCGGCCGGAATACTGGAAAGCTGCAAAGAAAGTTTTGAGGTACCTAAAAGGAACGAAGGATTACATGCTCATGTATAGGAGGTCCAAGCATTTGGAAGTTGTTGGATACTCGGATCCAGATTTCGCTGGATGTATTGACACTAGAAAGTCTACGTTTGGTTATTTGTTCCAATTAGCTGAAGGAGCAATATCGTGGAAGAGTACCAAACAGTCTGTCATTGCTACATCCACGATGGAAGCAGAATTTGTGGCATGTTTTGAAGCCACAATTCATGCATTATGGCTGCGAAACTTTATTTCAGTACTTGGGGTTGTTGACACCATTACCAAGCCGCTTAAAATTTACTGTAATAATCCTGCAGTAGTATTCCTCTCGAAGAACGATAAGTACTCCAAAGGTGCTACCGTCAAGGAGGAAGTTCAGAAACAAAGAGCGTCACTTGAGCATATTAGAACAGATCTCATGATTGCAGATCTGTTAACGGAAGGTTTACAGCCAAAGATATTTAAAGAACATGTACATAGAACGTATCTTGGCTGTATTTATGACTGATGCATTTATGATGGTTTGACACTCTAAGCTCATTTATGTGTTTCTGATATACATTAATAATTTCCTGTTTCTCATAATGGTGCACACATTATTGTTTTGAGATATTACGGGATAAGTCTTAATGAGACATTATTGTGGACCATAATATTTTATAGCTTATGGACTTGGTACGGTGAGTTGACAATGTTGTAGTATATGGAAGGGAGTATGTAGACAAATTATATATAACCGCCATAACTCACATTTAGTATTTTATCGTATTATGGTATTTATGATGGACGTTATAGAAGAGATTTGTTTATGCGCAACTAATGTTTATATTGTTAAGTATTAATATTATGTGATATTGGGCCAAGTGGGAGAATGTAAGTTATTTTTTCCTACGTGTATGTGGCCCAATAGGTTTAAGGCTAATAATTAATATTTAATTAATGATCAAATCTCATCCGTCCGATCGGTTACTTGATGGACGTACTAGATTAAGTGAGAACCTCCATAAATTGGTCCTCTCCCCACCCATTAGGGTTACCGTATTTTATTTTCTCTCTTCCACCGTTAAAGATGGAAGTAACGAAAGCTAGGACAAGGGGCGAGAAACTATTTTCAACTAACGCTTCCGTTTCACAATGATGGCTTACGATTCAAGTATATTTTATGTAACGATTTTGTTTAAGATTATCATGTTCAAGTTCCTGGTACACAATTAAAGTTTACGTTTACAGGCCAAGCTAAAAATCTAGTTGTCTAATCGATGTTAATGTGTAGAATCAAAGAAGAAACTAATAATTAGGGATGGCAATGAGGCGGGGCGGATGCGGGGCGGGGCGGATTTGAACGTTAGCGGGGCGGTGCGGGTTTGAGACTTTGCGGTTGCGGGGGGCGGGTTCAATTTTTAAATTAAAAAAATAATGCGGGGCGGGGCGGGGCGGGTTGCGGGTGGGGATTTAATTTTAACTGTCAGTTAAGGCGAAACTGCCGCTTAACTGTCTCTTCTTCTTCTTTCCCATTTTTAACTTCCACGTAAAAAATAAAATAATAAAAAAGAAAGAGAAAATATTACTTCTCTGTACATAACACAGATTTTTTCCACTTTCATATTCATTATATATTATATATAAATATTTATACACGGTTTTATGCAATTTGATTACTGTTAATCTCATCTTCTCCTTCAACAAGATTTTTAGTAAGTCGGTCTGTATTATTATTTTTTGGGTGTTTTTATTTCATATTCTTTTGCATTTGGTTTTATTAAAATCATGTGGGAAAGTTTATTATACAATTTTATTAAAAAATTGTGGGGCAGAGCGGGGCGGGTGCACGCGGGTGGAGTGCGGAGCGAGTGAATGCGGGTTTAAATACTATGCGGGACGGGGCGGGACGGGTTTAAACTACACGGGTTCAGACAGAACCCGCCCCGCACCCGCACCGCCTGCCAGTAATAATAGTACTACCAAAGTAAAAAGAAAAATTTGAAATAAAGAAACTTTTGAGGGCGAAGTAAGAATACCACAACAATATGGGGTTAAAATGAAAAAGAAAGAAAGAAAGAAGAAACGAAAAGAACTTGTGTCAAACTGAAGACAGCCTCAAACTTTCACCGACGAGACCCTCTTTGTTCTGTCTTGTTGGGTAATAGAAGTGCTGCTGCCTACACGAAGAGCTATGCAGATATTTTGCTTTTCCTCCTTATTTCAATTCTAATTTCTAAGTGTTCCAAGATAGTGTTGTTAGTTCATCGCAGGTACTTGCCAAAATCACATCTCTCTCCCTCTGGTTTTCTCCACTTACGGTTTGGTTCTTGCATTTCATCTACCATTTTTTATAAAGTTGAAAGATTTAGATTTTTACGGAGTAAATGTGATATTGGCTCTTTTCTGCGGAGAATTTGGTATTTGGGGTTCACAACACTTTTCATTTCGCTGATGATTTTTGTTTTAATTTGCCCCTCATGATTGCTTTAAGTTCTAAAAGCAATAGATTTGGCCAATTTTGGACTGGAATGCCTTTGGAAATCTTTGAAGAAGATCAAGCTTTACTAATGACTTATTTATTCTCGATATTAGCACTTATGTTAAAGTGTTTCAAAAAACTTTATATTGGGAAGTGAAAGATGTAGGAATTGTTGGAGAGTAACAGCAGAAGATCATGTCTGAATGCGTGTACTATAAGAATGCTAGACATATGATATTAATGATTTCAGCAACCAAAAAGACAAGAAAAATAGGATTTTAACTATGCATGATCAGTTCTGGTTGGAATATTTTGGCTATCCAAATCAAACATAAACTGAATCACATCCCTAAGATAGTTTGCATATTTAATTAGTCTGCTGCACTGAGTTTGACACAAACATTATTATAGAAGATAATTTACCATCTTTTCCTCTTATTGCACTGTAAGCCTGATTTCAGTTGTCTCAAATAGCTTGAACTCTCCTTTGAACTGACTTGTCTTGACTTGAATTGTTCATGTTAGATGCTCTTATTACAGTGTAAGCTTTACTTCAGCATCTGCTGGTTTTTTCCTTGGTGTGGCCATACACCATTCTGATAATGCAGCCAGATGGGAATTAAAAGCTCATGTTTATTATTAAACGATTTTTTGTTCTAATTGTTGGATGTTGATGACCTTTCGTGTTGCTGATTACATATTTTTAAACTTGTAGCTGATGCAGCCTTGCTGCATGGCTGTCGAGCAAACCATCTCACCATTTTGTGTTCATATTGTAATAAGGTTGCACCTTGCACACATTTTCCTTAATTCGTTTGTGCTTTATCTCTAATTCGTTAATGCGTTAAATGTTCTTGATCTCATTAAGAAGGGAAGGTTCTCTTATTGCCATACTTCCTTGTTCTTAGTCGGGATGCTCCTTGAATATGGTATTCTTATCGAAATGCATCTGTAACTGATGAGGAATCTGTCTCTTTTGTGTCCTTTTTAGTTATTATAGCGTATCTTGTGCCTGTTGATCAAGAGTTCCACCTCATATTTAATTTGTTTATCTTCCTTTAATAGTTAGTTGCAGACGCTTTAGTAGCCCAGGGAAAACGATGGTTGTCGCTATTGGTGCTCCTCCCTTTGTTTTTCTACCTTCATCACCGTTCGCTGCCTCGAGGAACTTAAAGAAGCAACGTAACACCATCTTCAATTTGAACATTGGTCTTCAAAGTAGTCATACCGAGCACAGGTGTATCACTATTAGCAACATCAAATGTTCTGCCTCCTCCTCCTCCACATCCGCCATTGTTTCAAAGGAGGAAGAACCATTACCACTTGAGGTGAATGAGATTAAGACAATGTGCAAAACTTGGGTATGGAGAGGTTACAACATAAATTACTTGGTTTATCAAGCGCGCAACGAGAACACTTGTCGCCCTTCCCTACTCCTAGTTCATGGTTTTGGTGCCTCTATCGCCCATTGGCGCAGGAACATTGCGACGCTCGCTCAAAACTACACAGTGTATGCTATTGACCTCCTTGGCTTTGGTGCTTCTGACAAGCCATCAGGATTTGAATATAACATGGAATCTTGGGCTCAGTTAATATTGGATTTTGCGAATCAAATTATTCAAAGACCAACTGTATTGGTAGGGAACTCTGTTGGAAGCCTTGCTTGTGTAATAGCTGCTGCAGATCCTTCCCAAACATCCATTCAAGGACTTGTTTTGTTGAACTGTGCTGGAGGCATGAATAATAAGGCAATTGTCGATGATTGGAGGATTAAGTTATTATTGCCCTTACTCTGGCTTGTTGACTTCTTATTGAACCAAAGATCAGTTGCTTCTGCAATCTTTAATCGGGTCAAACAAAGAGAAAATCTAAAGAATATCTTGTTGTCTGTCTATGGAAATAAGGAGTTTGTGGACGAAGATCTGGTGGAGATTATCAAGGGACCAGCTGATGATGAAGGCGCGCTCGATGCTTTTGTATCCATTGTGACAGGTCCTCCAGGGCCAAATCCAGTGCAGTTGATCCCAAATCTTACACTCCCTATCCTTGTCTTATGGGGTGATCAAGATCCATTTACCCCAGTTGATGGCCCTGTTGGTAAATACTTCTCATCCTTACCTTCTCAAAAACCAAATGTGAGTCTGTTTCTTTTGGAAGGAGTCGGACATTGTCCTCATGATGACCGACCTGATCTTGTCCATGAAAAGCTGCTTCCTTGGCTAAGCCATTTGCCAGTGGTAGAAAACGTAGTTACATGATTATCTTAATCCTTCTGTGAATGAGATCATAAGTGTATGGTATACTTAATTTCATTGATCTTCATGTACAGAGGATATTGATTTGTAAATCATGTTACAAAAGAATATATTTGTTTGAGCAAATGTATACAGAAGTTTGTGGAATCTTGTTGTAGTTCACATTGATAGCTGTTCATTTATGTTCCTAAAAGGTTTTTCAATCTATAACCAATTCGGCATTCCATTTTGACATTGGTTATTATTATATGTGAAACTATATATAATATATTCAGCAGCACATACCAAAACCTATGTATGGAGCGTTCGGACTCCGAAAACCTTTTACGAATTGTGTATGTTATCGGAAGGTTTCTTTTGTTTCTTTTCATTTTTCTTGAGCCGAGGGTCTATCGGAAACAACTTCTCTACCTTCCCAAGGTAAGGGTAAGATCTGCGTTTACACTACCCTCCCCAAGACCCCACTTGTGGGATTTCATTGGGTTGTTGTTATATGCTATCAGAAGGCTTTTAGCAAGCAACAACACAACTTTTTATTCTCTTATTTGCAATCATCATTAAATTCAACAATGCATTACTTCACACTTTCAAAGAGTTTTCGTTAAATACATACCAAGGAAGTTGCATAAATCACAAGAAATTAAACCACCACAAACATTTTCTCTCTAGTAATAAGGAATTTGCTGTCAATTATGAGACTTTATGTGATGATTTTTCTTCTATTGACTATCTGATACATAGCTACTAAAGCTTTCACTTCTTAGAGACATGTTATCTTGAAAACTATTACCGCAAATCACATCACTCCTTGTGCTTCTTAGTTGGTCAAGTACTGTTGCTACCTCTTTCATATATGGCCTTTCTCTTGAGTTAAACTTTAAGCATCTTTTGGCAAGCTTGGCTACAGCAAGAATAACCTCCTCATTCACAAGTTCAACAATTTCAGGATCTACAATGTCAAGTATACGACCTTGTTTTAACGATGACTCGAAACACATTACTAGACCTTGATCGTAGTTATTTGTGTCTAAAGATACAGCTTTTTGGCTTGTTAAAAGCTCCGCCAGAACGACATCAAATGCATAGACATCACTTTTCTCACTAAGTTGACCTGATCGAAAGTATTCAGGGTCCAAATAACCAAATGTACCTCCAACTAGAGTCGTTAAGTGAGTCTTGTCGATAGGTACTAACCTTGAAATACCAAAATCAGATATCACAGCTCTAAAATTCTCGTCCAATAGTATGTTGCTTGATTTGATATCTCTGTGGAAAATTGCATTAGAAGCATATGAGTGCAAGTAAGAAAGCGCCCCTGCAACTTCTGCAGCAACTCGCAATCGATGCTCCCAAGTTAGTCCTATTGCTGTTGATGTGGTTGAGCAACTTGGACTACAATTTCTATGTATATGAGATGCTAATGTGCCATTTGAGATATATTCATAAACTAAGAGCGGAACATGAGTCTCTAAACAACAACCTAATATTTTGACTATGTGCCTGTGACTTAATTGGGAGAGAATGAGAATTTCGTTAATGAACTGATCAACCTGATTTTCATCCACTATGTTGGATTTCTTCACAGCCACAATACTTCCATCTACTAACATTCCTTTATAGACAGTTCCAAGCCCTCCCCTACCTAGAATTCGACGTTCGTTGAAGTTGTCTGTTGCTTTTTCCAACTCCTCTTTTATGAAAAGTTTCAATCCTGGCAAAGTGTTACCATTACTAGTTTGTCCACTTAAAGAGATCCGTTGTTGCAACAAAAGTCCGCCATTCCTCTTGAAAAACCTTTGTTTAGTTTTCATCTCTTTTCTTTTTTGAAGTCGTCGATATAGCCAAAGACAAACAGCCAGTAGGATCAGAGAACTACTTGCTGCTACAATACCTGTTTGTTTGCAGAACAAATTTGACAAAAAGAAAAAGAAAAGAACATGACTCATTTTGGAAATCCTAGAATATGGTAATAAACAGAATAAGGGATTACAACAATGAAAAAAATGTGAACACTCAGCTGTTTATATAGGAAATTTGAGGTGTAAGCTGAGTACCTATGTAGAGCTGTTTACTGAGCATGCGTCTCTCGCTATTTGGCTCACAAAAGAAGCTTCCAGATGTATTAATGCACTGAGTATTATTTGGACAACGTTTTCCAATTGGAGTTGCACACTCATTGATATCTGTAGAACAACAAAACAAAGAAAGCACTTGAGAAAAAAATAACAAATACATGTTTTTTTTGTTCCTGTCTTTTTCTTCACAGATAAGTGAAACCTATGTTGCTCGGACTCTCCGAAAATGTCGATGGGTGCATGCCGGATCCTCAAAAAGTAGTGCATTTTTGGAGGATCGACACAGGTGCGGTAGCTGTTTTGGAGAGTCCGTGCAACATAGAGTGAAACAAGGGACTTAGTCATTTTCAAACCTTCGCATCCAATAGGGAGGTAAGGATTGCCTTGAAAACCAGGAGAGCAACCGCATCTGTATCCACCGGCTTCTCTGGCAGATTCGTTGATACACTGACTATGTTTTCCACAAGCATATTTTGGGCTTTTGATGGCATGGTTACAACTAACATTCCCAATTACCCAATCCAGGGTCCATTCAGCTGCAAAATAGTAATCTATATTGCAGTTGGAAGTTGAATACTTACCTAGCAATTCAGTGAAGTTAGAAAAACCTTTGTCCACAAATAAAATATAGCTGTAATTGCTAGATGCCCATGTTGTTTGCTGTGTATTCATGGTTTGTATTGAGGCTGTGAAACTTTTTGGTACTTTTGAGAAAGCAGTTTCACAACAGCCATTACTTCCTGTGCAATGTGTCGACGATGATGAAGAAGAAGCTGCTCTGTAACCACCATTAGTACCATCATCAGCAATATTGCAAAGAGAGGCACATCCACTTACAATGTCTCCATTATCTTCATCTTTGGCATAGCAAACATATCACATCCGATTCCTACCAACTTATTCTGAGTTGGTGAAATGCTAAAATACGGATCGTCATTAGATCCGTATCCACTTTCATCCCCATATACGTTTTGTCCAGAGGATCTGTTATAAGGAACAGGTACGAAATTCACTAGTCTTGATAGAGTTCGTTGAGATATGTGATACCGATTCATTAAGCCAAGGCAGGTAGGCAATCTTGTCGTCGTTGCACATAATTTCAAATGGCTTGTCAAAGTAACACTTTCTCCCTATTCCAAATGGATAAGGAATGGTCAAGTTGCCACATTTTTCTGCGCAGTGAGGCTTTGGTAATGAAACTTCATTTTCTTGAAAAAGCAACTCAAAAAGATAGAATGGCCAAATTGGAATGCACTGCATCTGCTTCTTTACCAATTGCATATTAATTCCCACGTCTTTGTTTGTATAAATATTGCCTTTTGGTCGAAACATGTGCAAATTAAGTTGGGCGCCAGCTTGTATTGATTACTGGTTTATAGACCTGAGGTTACTAAGCAATTACTAAAACCAGTTTATAGTTGCTTTTTAAAAAAAAAAACAAAATTAGGAAGTAAAGCTACAAAAAGCTTGCGCACAAAGGAGCAGCTCACATCCACAAACTAAAAGAGAAAAGAGAGAATAAAGGAGCTATACAAGACTTTACAGGGTAGAAACCATGATGTTAAGCCACCATTTTTAGGCTAATTGGTATGTAGGGTTTGGATTTTATAAAATAAAATGATTTGATTTTGTTCTTTTAGTTATCTAGTTTTGCTTTTTCTGATGTTTGTTCAGGTTTAATATTGGAAAGTAATTAAGGGCATGTTCTCTGTCTAATCATTCTCCAAAACGTGGTTATTATAAAATGGAGCATTTCCAATTTTAAAACCTAGACCTGTTAATTAAATCGTGGTATTTACTTTATGTGTTCAATTCGCATATCATGGCATTGCTCTTTCCATAGTGATGAGCATCTTTCATTTATTTATTTGTTTATTTATTTTTCTTTGTGGGTGGGTTCCTGCTTTGAGCTCATAAATGGCTAACTGGTATTTTATCTCCAGAAGCAACGCTGCTTTAGTTCTAAGGTAAGAAAATCGTGCTTTTAGCCTTTTTCCTCTGCTTTTGAGTATGAGTTGCTCCAACTTCCTAAGAGGCCTAGTTTTAGAAAATCAACATATGTGCACACAAAATTACACTTGTTGATATATGTTTGACTAAAAATATAAATTTTGATTAAACTAATTAGATGTGTATTATGAGGGGTTAATCTTAGTTAGTAATAATAACCTCAGATCTATAATGATTAATGAGAATAAAGAAGAGCAACGCTAATAGAAGATCAAATGCAAGGAGTATTTAATGTTTTAAGAACATTAATGAGAAATAGATAAAAAGCAATAAATGACAATAAATGGTACTAAAGTAAATAAAAAGAATGTTTAACCCAATATTAAATAAGGTGGATGATTCCTCCTTCTGACAATGATGGATAATAGATAAAGATCACAATATAAGGACCCTTCTCAGATCTGGTGGAAAATGTGTAGAATAATAGAAGATCGAATCTCTTTAGAAAGGTAATATTTGTATTCTATCTAGAGAGAAAGTCTGCTTTTTATATAGTGTTCTTATCAGAGAATATTACATGCCTATCACTTGATCTCTCTTTCTATTTATAAGGGACATACTTCCAATTACCCCTAAAAGTACAAATAGAGAGAATATTCAATGGAATATTCCCTAAAAAGTCCTGTGTCACGACCCAAAATCCACTGAGAGTCGTGGTGGCGCCGGACACCGCTGTCAAGCAAGCTAACCAAAATACTTAATTAAATTCCAAGTTTTGTATTGTCTAGAATCATTTTTTTTTCTTTATACATTAAATAACGAATAATAAAATTTACAGAAACAACCGCGAAGTCTTTAACAAAACTTAACGTTTAATAATCCAAAAATCCTCCCAGAACCCGGTGTCACAAGTGCATGAGCAATTTCTAAGGAATAATGTAATACAACAATCGTCCGGAATACAATATTGGACAGAAATAAATACAGAAAACTGAAAGAGACTCTGCTGGCTGCGAATCGCCTCGAGAAGTGCAGCTCACCTAAGTCTTCGTATCATCCGTGCTGCTACGCCCAGTAGGACACTAGAGATGCATATGCCTGTGAAACAAAAATGCACAGAAGTGTAGTATGAGTACGAACACAACGTGTACCCAATGAGTATCCCGTCTAAACTCGAAGAAGTAGAGACGAGATGGTCGACTTCGGCACTTACTAATGGTCCAATGATGGTATATCCATAGTATATTAATTCGTGAATTTTTTTTAACATGATTATAATTCAATGGGATGAAGCAAATAAACAATTCTTTCTTTTATAGGAAATCATTCCTTTTCATGATTTATGCGTATATTCTTAAGCCAGAAAGAGGCAGCAACAACTTCAATAAGTTTCAAGGCAAGCAATACAAGCTTGCGCAAATCATGCCGAGGTCGACGGCCCGCTCCAACAGAAATGTAAACTGTGCACTGCCGAGGGTCGAACGGCGCGAACCATAGATGCATCTATTCCCCCGCTCGCGAACTATCCATGCGACGCGGTCAACATAAATTAAACAATCACCCTGCTTGCGAATCATGCATGCGACGCAGGTACACATAGAAATACATGCTCTGATAGCCAATTAAGAATTTATCGGGGAATATTTATTCAAATAAAAGCCTTTCTCTTTTAACAATTTAAGAAAAGAAGTTTAATCCTTTTTGAAATTTATTTATTAATTCGATGTGGTTTAAGCAATTCGAGCTGTCAATAAGTTACAGTTAATCCAAGTATAGCATGCTTTTGGGTCCTATACTACCCGGACAATAGCATAATAGTAGCTATGCACGGACTCTCTTCACCTCGTGCGTGCGTAGCCCCCACAAATAGGAACACATAACCAATTAATTCGCCTATGGGGACAATTCCCTCTTACAAGGTTAGAAAGGAGACTCACCTCGCTCCGAAGGTGCATAACCAGCATTCCACGCCCTTCCGAAGACTCGAATCGATGCACAACGCTCCAAAACTAGCCAATAATTATGTAAATCCATTAATATATGCTAAGGTACTTATTATAATCCAATTTATAACAATTCCTAACCCCGATCGAAAAGTTGACAAAAATGCCCTCGGGCCCACGTGCCCGGAATCCAAAAATTTTCGAAGATAAAGATTACCCATGGCCTCACGAACTTAAATATATGATTTTCTCTAAATTCCATACCAAAAATCGTGGTCAAAATCCAAAAATACTAGTTTTCTAGGTTTTCCCTCAAACCTCAAATTTTCTACAATTTTCCAAGTCTAAATCCATATATAAACCTTGTATATACTCAAAACTAGTAGAAATCACTTACCTCATGCTTGGTAATGAAAATGACACTCCAAAGTTGCTCCAAAATCGGCTCCTATGGAAGAAATAAAGTGAAAATGAGCCAAACTTCGATTTTTAAAGAAACCTCTCTGCGTCCAGCAATTTTCGCATCTGCGGAAATTTGACCGCATCTGCGAAAAATTTCCGCATCGGCGGTTATGACAGCAACCAGCACTTTCCTCGACACGGAAATGAGCATAACTCCCTCATACGATGTCCAAATTCGACGATTTTTTTTGCTTTGGCTCCGGAATTACGATGCGGACCTAATGGCTCAATAAAAACTTAATTTGGAGCTCATTTGCTTAATATGGCACCCCTTTATGTCCAAAGAAACGACGTTGAAACATCAAATAAGAGCGCGATACAACCCGAAACCCACCCGAGGCCCCCGGGACCCCGACCAATCATACCAACCAGTCCCAAAACACATTACGGACTTGCTCGAGGCCTCAAATCACATCAAACAACACTAAAATCATGAATCAACACCTAATCCAAGCTTTATGAACTTTAGAACTTCCAACTTCTACTTTTGATGCTTAAACCTATCAAATCATGTCCGATTGACCTCAAGTTTTGCACACAAGTCATATTCGACATTATGGACCTACTCCAACTTTCGGAATCGGATTCCGACCCCGATATCAAAAAGTCCACTTCCGGTCAAACTTCTCAAAAACCTTCAAATTTCTATCTTTAGCCAAATGGCTCCAAAATGACCTACGGACCTCCGAATTCACTTCCGATCGCGCTCCCAACTCCAGAATCACCATACGGAGCTGCTCCCGGACTCGGAATCCCAAACGGACATCGATATCACTGAAATGCACTTCAACCCATACTTATGAAATTTCTTTCAAAATGCTACTTTCCACAATAGGCGCTAAAACGCTCCCGGGTCATCCAAAACCCGATCGGGCATACGCCCAAGCCCGAAATCATTATACGAATCTGTTGGAACCTTCGGATCCCGATTTCGAGGTCGTTTACTCAAAATTCCAATCCTAGTTAATTCTTTAAACTTAAGGCTTTCGAAATGAGAATTCTCTTTCCAAATCAACTCTGAACTTCCCGAAACTTAATTCCGACCACGCGTACAAGTCATAATACCTGAAATGAAGCTGTTTATGGCCTCAGACTGCTGAACGACGTGCTAGAGCTCAAAACGACCGGTCGGGTCGTTACATTCTCTCCCACTTAAACATACGTTCGTCCTCGAACATGCTGAGAACTACACTGAAGTAGTCTGAAATCACTGTTTAACTTCTCATGCACCTTCCCGTGCTACCACAACTCACTTGAGCACATCAGCTCGATCAATTCTGAAGATATTCCCTTTTATTCAAGCAAATAAGCCTTACGAG